TCAACGGTTCTCCTAATACAAAATGGTTCTCAGTTCTGTATCCTCCTCAAAACAGAGTCTTGATGACCAGGATACCCACTGTGATATGATTTACAGTCATCAGCAGCGAGAAGAAACACTTAAAGTTAAACTTCAAGCAGACAAATATTGTCGAATAACGTTCTTAATTGATTCAACTCTACACAAAGTGGGGGGCTAAAATAACCAAATTATCAATAGCTCTAGTGATAACACAGTTTGTTATTTAATTACAGTAACAAGATAGACTAGACCTACCGAGTTAACACAGATTATTATCTAATTATAATAACAAGAGAGATTAGAGATACAAAGATAGCACAGATTGTTATCTAATTATAATAACAAGAGACAAGAGCTACAGAGATACCACAGATTGTTATCTGATTATAATAACAATAGAGACAACAACGACCGAGAATACATAGATTGTTATCTGATTGTAATAACAAGAAAGACTGGGGCTGTAGAGATAACACAGGGTGTTATCTAATTTTAGTAACAAGAGAGACTAGAGATACAGAGATGTCACAGATTGATATATAATTATAGTAACAAGAGAGACTAGAGATACAGAGATAACACATATTGATATACAATTATAATAACAAGAGAGACTAGAGATACAGAGATAACACAGATTGTTATCTATTTATAATAACAAGAGAGACTGGAGATACAGGGATAACACAGATTGTTATCTAATTATAGTAACAAGCGAGACTAGAGCTACAGAGATACCACAGATTGATATATAATTATAGTAACATGAAAGACTAGAGATACAGAGATAACACATATTGATATATAATTATAGTTACAAGAGAGACTAGAGATACAGAGATAACACAGATTGATATATAATTATAGTAACAAGAGAGACTAAGATACAGAGATAACACAGATTGATATATAATTATAGTAACAAGAGAGAATAGAGATACAGAGATAACACAGATTGATATATAATTATAGTAACAAGAGAGAATAGAGATACAGAGATAACACAGATTGATATATAATTATAGTAACAAGAGAGACTAGAGATACAGAGATAACACAGATTGATATATAATTATAGTAACAAGGGAGACTAGAACTATAGAGATACCACAGTTTATTATCTAATTATAATAACAAGAGAGACTGGCGATACAGAGATAACACAGATTGATATATAATTATAGTACAAGAGAGAC